CCCCGTGGGTGTCGGGCAGCGGGGAGACCACCCAATGGGAGAGGCCGGCTGGGCGAGGGCGCCCGGCCCTGGGGACAGCGCACCTGGCGTTGCCTACGCGCCTGTTCCTGGAGCGCGCTGGTCCTCCGGTCACCGGTCGTCCCCGAACCCCGACGCGCCGTCGAGGTGCGCGCATCTGGCAAACTTCGCGACTTTCTCACCAGCACCGGTGGATAGACGAGCCTCGGAGCGCAGGACGCCCAGACGCTCCAAGGCCGCCGGTGGCGCAATGCCCGGGAGAGCCTGGGTACCGCGCGCCCCCACCATCGAGGGACCTCGATGCACCCGGGGATGGGCGCACCTTGGGGCGCTGGCCACGTGGCTATGCCCGCCACTGGGGCTGGGTTTTGGCCAATTATGAGCAGTGGCTCTTAGGTCTTTTCGTGGTGTAGTCGACCCGTGGGGCGCGGGGCTTGGGAAGGGGCGGAAGGCAAACGGCCCGGGTTTTGCTCCGGGTTTTGCTCGGATTCTCCAGCCGGCAATCCGATCGCTATTTGTGCCGCCCCAGATGTGTCTCTTCCCACCCCCGCCCCCAGTGGCGTGGTGAGACCAGCGCCTCCCCCTCTCGCCTCCGCTGCCCTCGGGCGGACAGAATGGGGAGCTCGGCCCCGCATTCCTGGCTGGTCTGCGCGGGGGTAAAGGCCACCTCGTTTCCTCCCCCCCAGCACGGCGGGAAGGGAGGTGAGCCTGTGGCCGGCCAGCCACGCCAAGGAGTCGAGCTCCGCTAGGTCAACCAATCGCAAAGCTCCCGGCGGTCCGCGCCCTGCCTCCCTGCGGGGCCAGCGCCGCGGAATTCCTCGGGAGGTGGGAGGCGACGGGCCATGATGGAGGCTTTCTCTGAATGTGTAAGGAGGCATTCACCCGGCGGCAGTGGGAGGGCAGGCTGGGGGAAATTCTCCTTGAGAGAGCAAGGGCGAGCCGAGGTCTGGCAGCCAGCGATGGAAGGCTGGGACACTCCCTCACTGCTCCGCGGCGCCTGGGGAAGGCTGTGCAGACGCCCCCGCCCCAGCCTCTCTCGCCAGCCGCCTGAGCTGGCACTGCGGGTCCAGGAAACACCATCCCCAGCCTCTTTGCTGGAGGACCCACTTGGGATGAACCCAAGTGTCTCTGGCCCTTAGGAAGTGGGGGTTGGGCACAGTCACCCTGAGAAGTGGCTGCCTCTAGGCCTCCAAGAGGTTCTGACTGGTCACCTGCCTCTTCCCTTTGAGGAGGCAGAGGACACTGTCTGCACATAGCCACTCAGCCCCTACTACCCCCTAACCTGGAGCTCCGTTGGAGCCCATAGGAGGAAGTGAAGCAGGGAGAGACCTCTTATGTCATCTCCTTGCTCAGAGACACCCCGTTTTTCCCAAAATGGTGGGGAGGATGACAGTGTTTGGGTGCCATGTCCATGTTCCATGCAGGACTGTAGAGCAGTGGATGCTGCCTTGCCAGAGCATTCTGGTGCTCAGTCATTGCTCAAGAGGCTGCAGGTGAGAATGAGGTCTGTCTCACCACTGCAAGGCCCATTCCACCTGCCAGGCCAGGGCTGCCTCTCTGCTCTTATTGGGTCTTAGGACAAGCCAGGACAGAGGGACCCCACTTCTGATTCGCACCCTTCACCAGTGACTAAAGACCAAGATTTTCACTTTCCTGTGCCAAGAGCCAACAGCAAGTCAAGCAGCGTGGACATAAAGTCAACACTTTGAAAAGGCAAAACCAAGATCGAGCCCCAGAAACAGCCCTGATCAACCTATGCCTAAAGCCACCCCATTTCCACACCTTTGTTGTTCCGAGAGATAATAAACTTCTTTATATTTAAAAACAAAAGCAGAAAATGGCAACTTCAGCCTCTGGGCAGCAGGGTGGGGGATACATCACTTGGACTGTGTGCCACCTAGATGTGTGTTCTGGTGGGTCAGTGTGCTGCATGGCCAAGGAGCCCTGCCTTCATCAGGCCCAGCACCCACAGCACTGCTGGGAACCAGACTCAAGGCAGACAGATGCCAGACTGGATCACCCCTCTCTCACTGCAGTCCCTGGTTGCTGGTGCCTGACAGCCACAGGCTTCTCATGGACACAGGCCGCTCCGCCCTGAAGGCAGGTCTGGAAATCGAGGGGATGGGTGTATGTGATGGGCTTCAGAGGCACTCTGCCCCAGGCATCCTGGCCTCCAGGGATTGTACATGGTCCCTGCCCTCAACAAATGGATGGACAAGACAGGCAAGCAAATGGGCAGCCAAGGCCCTGCAGATCACTCTTGTCCTTACTGTGTGGTGTGGTCATCTAGGAAAGCCACTCCAGCCACCTGTGTGAGCATGTTTGGTCCTGCCTAGGGACACCCCAAAGCTGCAAGGAGTGAGCAGCAACAGGCCAGGCGTTCTGAGGAGCCAGGGTGTGGGGCAGTGTGTAGAAGCTGCTCTTGCCACCGGTGTGCTTGCTGATGCCAGCTCCTCAGAATGTGCCCTCTTGGCCCCGGGGACCTGGACTGACTCCATAGGAGCCAGCCTCGGTGGGAGAGTCACATGGCTGGCGAGCTGCACATACAGCTTTGCAGACCTGAGCTTAGAGACCCCTGCGCCACGCTCCGCCAGCTGGCTGCCTGCCTCCCACCCCCATCGTGGGCTGCAGTAGGGCAGAGGAGGAGGGAGGGGTACAGCCCTGTGCCAGGTGCCTGTCTCCTCTCAGGGGCTGCTTTTGTGAAGAACGCACTGGGAGGAGCTTTGGAAGAGAAAATTACAAAGAAACAGCAAATATCCCTTCCTGTCTTCCTTCCGAGTGTCCTGGGGGGCACCCCACCCTCTCTGCCATTGCCAGGGCCTTCACCATCCCCATCTTCCCCAGCCACTCCAGCAGGATTTTCTGTGCCTTTCTTTGTCTCAGTCACTGGTCAGAGAACCTGCCTGTTTATTCTCCAGCCAGTGGTGTTGCTCAGCCGTCCCCATGGCAACAGCCCTGGGAGTCCTGCCCCCTCCCAGGGAACTGCCCATAACCTGTCCCTGTCCTCTCCAGGCCTCTGCTGGAAGCCCAGAGAGAAAGGCAGAGAGCAGGGCGGAGAAGCAGACACCCACTGCGGGCTGAGGATACTGGGCTGCCCAGGGGACCGCCCACTCCACGTCATCCTGGGTCCTGCTTGTGGATGGAAGGTTGGCCTTGGGCTGCAGCTATGCCACACCCATGGGCTGGGGAGAGTGCCTCACCCAGGCTGGAGTGAGGTGGGCCTCCTCCTAGGCATAGCTTGGCCAGGTCCAGGGCCAGCTGGCCCTGCCCTCATGCCCAGGCCTCCCCAAGACCACCCTCCAGAGCTGCTCTGGGCCAGGGGCTACCTGCCAACCCTGTGGCTGCCCCACCCCAACTGCCCTGCAGTCCTGTGCCCCTGCCAAGCCCCAACTGCCACTCCAGCTGCCACCGCCAACTGTCGCCCCATCTCTGTTCCAAGCACTCACTCACCCCCAGCCGTCCTTCCAAAGTAGTACTGCCAACTGTCAGCCCTCCTTCCCAGTCCCTGCTCCCACCACCGGCCCAGCACCACAGCTCTGCATTCCAGGCTTCCCCACCTCCAGCCAGGTTAGGGTGAGGCCACACCTGCCTTGTGCCTGGCGGGGGAGGTGCTAAGGGCCCCAGAACAGAGAGCGGTGTTGGAGGGTAGGGGAAGAAAGTGAAGGGGCTGGGGTCCCAGAGCCCAGCAGACAGAGGGGAAGGGCAGCCTGACAGTGCCTGCTGCCGTGGCTGAGCCCAGCACAGTGGTAGGAAGCAGCCAGGGCCCTAGCAGGACCAAGCAGGTGTCCTCAAGTGGGTCGTGACCAGGCTGAGGCATGGAGCTGGGCTTGTGCGTGGGTCTCTCCTCTGAGGGTGTGCCAACAGCTTGGCCTGACCACAGACCCTGGGAGGATCCCCAACAGGCCTCTCTCTGGGGTGCTGGCCCTGGCTTGGCTGCCCCTCTTCCTCCTCATAGCCCCCTTTCCTCATTCATCCCATGGTCCCCATGACGGGTCACTTCCATTGGAGGAGATACTCACCTGACACCCACCCCCTTCCTCATGGAGTCCACTAGACTCTGTCCTCAGCCCCAGCAGAGCCTTGGGCACATTACAACCCTAAAATGGGTCCTGGCGGTGTTAGAAGGAGGCACTGCTGCCCCTTGCAGGTGCGAGCCTGGGGTTGAAATTCCATCTGAGTCTGCACTGGCAGGACCATGGGGGCTGGGCTCAGTCCTGGCCTCCCCAGGGGCCTTCCTGGCACAGGCTGGTGATCACTAGGCAGATAGCACTGCAGGAGAAGGGACACCTGGCTCACCCTGTGTCCCTGTTCTTTGGGGACAGCCAGCCCTTCAGGCTGGGACACACTAGGGGAGGAGGTACTGGGAGCTGTGTCAGCATGTTGGGTCAGGCTGGCCCTGGGAAGAAGGGAAAAGACAGGGTATGTTTGCTAAGAACCTACTGTGTGCCAGGAATCTCCCCAAGTGGGGAGGGGAAGCACTTACCCAGGACCCTTGTGGCCCTCCCTCCCAGCTGGGGCCTGGGAGAGGGAGAAGGCTTGTGACTGGGGCCCCCAGAGGCCTGTGGATGGAGCCTCTCTCCAGGGATGCAGACCCTCCCCTCCCACCAGAAGAGGTCCAATGGGGTCCCCTGGTGGGTGCACAGAGGCCCAGGCCTGAGTGGGGCCAACAAGTGGCCTCAACTTCATTTATATGATCACCCACTGGTCAGATAAAGGCCAGAGCTGCCTGTGCTGGGCCACACCCAAGTCGGAGTGAGCGTGGGGAAAAGAGGATGAGCCAGAAGTGCTAGAAAAATAAACCTTCCCTGCAGCCTCCAATGATACCTGCAGTGGTACCTGCAGGCTCTCCCCCTCCAACAGGTGATTAGCACCACACACACCTGCAGTGTGGAATGGGCTTTGGGATCTCTTCTAAAGAATAGGGCCAAGAAAGGGACAGAGAGGACCTCTGTGGCCAGGATACCTGGCAGGCACAGTTTTACCCAGGTGATCCAGGTTAGCATCACCAGGTGAGGGTGTGGATGAGGTACCCTTGCTGTGAAGTGGGGAGAAGGGCACCTCACCTCAATCTCGCCACAGGAAAGTGAATCTGACGGGCCCTGACTGGGAGACCTTCCGTGCCACACCCTACCTGGTGCTCCTCAGGAAAACGAGGGAAGCCAGAGAATGGTCACAGACAGAGGGACCTGAGCCCTCATGACAAC